ACATGCTCTGCTCCTGTTTTTACTTCTTTGCTTCGTGTGTCTGCAGGCACACACAACCACATGCACGCACAAAATGCACATTTCATTCGATTTTGATGCTTTTTTTGTAGCGTGTGCTGGCGGTTGCGGGTGGCTGCTGCTTCCTCCGTGGGCATGAAGGGAAGGAGGAGAGAGGGAGTGCGCACCGCGAGTCTCCTTTCCTGCGGGTGTGATGCGCGTGGTGGACTGCGACTGCTGTGGAGGGCCGCATCCTTTCGGTGTGCGCTTCTCCGCCGTCGTGCCGTGCGTTTGCGCATGCCATTTATTGTGCGCGTGCGTGCTGGGCATGTTTTTCCGGAGCGTTGGCGGCCACCATCTGTCTATGGCGGTTTGTGTGAGTGAGGACGTGCGGATGAGGGTCAGGGCGTATGGAATGAAGGAATGGCTCGAGGAAAGGGGAATTCAATTTGGAGGGTATTTGGACCAGATTCATTTGGCTGCGGTGGACACATGCACGACGGATGTGTTTCCGCATAATTGGGGGAGGATACGACAGGATTTTCCGAAGTGGCCCGTCAATGCAATTCGGGTTTTATAGCACTGAGGCACAGTGGTCTTCCTGCAATGGCTGGTGACGGTCTCTAGTGGACCGGTGTATTTATGCTGCTGCTGCTGCTCGAGGAGGCGTAGAAGTGCGATTTGAGGTGAGCGGCGGAAGGGCCACACATCCCGCAGTGACGGTCGTCGTTGGCCCAGCGGGTGCCTCTGAGGGTTTTGTTGGATGCAACGTCCTTATGCCCGTCTCCGGATGGCGACTCCCTGATGCAGCCAACGAACGGGGCTGGGAGCGACGGTGAGACGCAAGCACGTGTGGATGTTCGGAGCGGCCGGCGCACCGCACGCTGAGAGCATGGCACGCTGAGGGCCGGACCTAGAAAAGGGACACCGCGTGGGACGTCAGTCTTCACTGCAGCGACCGCCACCGAATTCGGATTTGCTCGCACCTTCTGCGGTCCCTCTTCCTCTCCTCACTACTGTGCCGCGGGATCCAGCAGCGCGATGTTTGGCCGCAGGAACATGGCCCGAACAAACGCTTTGTGGGAGGGGGATGTGCACTGCGACGAGAAGGAAGAAAATGTTGCGAGACGACCACCACCACAAGACCGGAGTGAAGTTGTGTTTTGTCCACTTGCGCGAGGGCGGTCTGCCACCTTGTCGGTTAGGAGGATTATTTTTTTTGCGTCGTTGCGCTCTCTTTTTATTCCGCTGCGTTTTCTTGCGGACCTGCGAAGGGAGATTTGCAAGAAATTCCTGCTAGGCGTCCGTGCCGTCGTCGGAAAAGCGGATTTCCCCTTGAAAAACGCTACTTTTTAAATTTGTTTTGGGCGGGGAGTTCCTGTCGATTCACTGCGACTTTGTTTTGCGGATTTGATGCGTGTGTTTCCGAGCGGTTCGATCTGTGCTCCCAGCCCACTCGGATGTGGTGTGCGCGTCGGCGTGAAGGTGCCTGCCAGCCGTTTTATACCCTTCCCCGCTGTGGCTGCCGCCGCTGCCTTCCTCTTCCTGAGGTCCTGCGGCCTCTTGACAAAGTGTTTTGGAGAAGGCGTTGCCGCTCTTATCGTCCATGGTATTTTGATTCTGGTGTCGCGGTCAGGAGACATTGAACGAGAGGGTTTGCTGCCCTTTTGTTTTATTTATCCTCTCTGCCTGACGGCAAGTTATACACAAACGTGCTCCTCGGCACCTCAGTTGGTGCTGGCGGGGTTTCTCACAGTTGTCGCTGGCAATCGCATGCGCCAACTCTTCTCTGCTCCTTTTCAGTGTCGCATTTTTTTATTGATTGACGGACGCCATTCTGTCCGGCGTGCCACTTTGATTGGATTGTGTGGGACTGCTCGCCAACGCCATCGGAGAAAGCAGGCCGACTTTTTCACGTATTTAATTCCATCTTGCGCGCAGGTATTTTTTTCACATGTTCTGTTGGTCACTCAAACAGCGAGGTGTCCGGAAATATGCGTGCGTGGAATTATTCCTGCCATGTGAACTGCGGGCAACACCGAGGGGCTGCCACTTTGACTCCGCAGAGTTGTTGTGTCTCTTTGCAGGGCTGGCAGGAAAATTCCATGCAGCCTGCTACTGCTGGTGTGTCCTCAAATGATGTCACTCCATGCGAATAATGTGGTTCAGCAAGTGAGGGTGTTGATTGGGTTTGTGTGCACTCTGATTCTGTTTGCCACTTTGTGCGGGCACGCAACACTTGAGTGGTGGGAAAATGGAGCGGGGCGATGCACGGCCGCGTCCCGCCCAACGTTCATTGCACGATGGTGTGGTGCACATTGTGGTGCTGGCTCTGCGATGTGACTGCGGTCCCCTGCGCGGCAATGGTGGTGGGTAGAGGAGAGTGTTGACCCGCGGCGGGACGGTGGGATCGTGCCTCCTTTTCTCTTTGTTCCTTCCCTTTTGTGAAGGTGTGCACTTATTTTTTGTGTCAGTGATGGGGCAAACAGACCGACAACGTGAATAAAACAAAATAAAAAAGGACGATAGTGTGGCGGTGTTGGGGTCGATTGCACGTCGCAGCGCAGCGGGAGCGCATCACGGACTGCATGTGCTGGAAAGGCGTGTGTTGAAGTGAGCGTGGCGTGCCTGTGAGGGCCTGAGGAGTGAGAATAACGGTAATGGTGACTGTGGGAGTGTGAGGAACGGGACACGGGCGAAGAGCGCTCCTCTTTTGTTTTTATTGTTGTTGAACCGCGCCCACCTAATTGTTGTTGTGGTGCGTGACTCTCATTGCTGTATGGGGCGGTGTGTGGCTGTTTGACTTGTTTCTCTCGTTGCTTTTACTCTGCGTTGACGGGGAGTTAGTTTGTGCTGAAGGCTGCACGCAAGTGACAGGAGTGATGGCGATGATGATGACTGGCCGTGTGCTGCTGGTGTGTGCCCTCTGCGTGCTGTGGTGCGGTGCCGGCGGTGGTTTTGCAGACGAGGAAAAGGCAGCAGGCTCTGGGAGTGGTGCTGAACTTCCACCAGCTTCAAAACCAGTTGTAACGCCTCCAGTAGGCTCCCAAGGCTTACAAAATGGAGTAACAGTTGTTACAGAAGAAGTATCACCAATATCTTCCCCTACTCAAGGTGGGGATGCAGATGGTGATGATGAAGATGAAGAGATGGAAGATGGAGAAACCGAAGAGAAAGAAGGAAAAAGAACAGCAGGGCAGAGTGGTCAAGGAGGAACAGTTTTAATAGGCTCAGGTTCCAGGGAAGAGATTTTAAGTGGCAATGAGAAGAAAACAGGCCAGTCAATTTTATCTGCAGAGGGCATTTCTCCTTCCGGCAGTCAGGAATCAAATGCCATTCCCACGCAAACGAAGATAAAAAAAAAAATGAGACTGACGAAAATGCACCTGCAGTAGAGAAAGCACTCACAACAGGTAACGGAGAGAACACACTGCCTGCTGGAATTGCGGGAGGAAATCCTCCACCACCTCCAGAAGAAGGTGTTGATTCCCGCAAACAGGATGGCGAAGACACCACGAGTGAAGGTAAAAAAAATGTTCAGTCGCCTGCGACCGCAGCCACGACACAAAGCCACCGAGAAGGAGGCTCAGAAGGGAATGAGGAAGACACAAAAGCAAAGACAGTAACCGCCAACACAACTGATACGACGAATACACAAAACAGTGACGGCAGCACCGCGGTCTCCCACACCACCTCCCCTCTTTTGCCTCTTCTTGTTGTTGTTGCGTGTGCGGCTGCGGCTGCGGTGGTGGCCGCGTGAGAGTGAGGGAGAGAGAGCCGTGCACCGCCCGCACACACACTCGTCCTTCACTCTGTGTGTCCCCTTGCATGGACTCTCGCCCTCACCTCACCCCACGAAGCACACACATAATGTGCCCATTGTATATATGAATGCACACCCATGCAGTCCCGTTGGTGCTCTCTTTTGCACGACACGCACCGCTGCCGTCCTGCCTGGCTGCATGGACGGAGCACCGTAACTGTTTCTGTTTTGTTTCCATTGCATTGAGTGGGCGACCTCTCTCTCTCTCTCCCTGTGTGTGTGTGTTGCTTTACGGGAGCAATGAGAGTGTGTGCGCTGGTCGTCCCACGCTTCGGCTTCTTGTTTTTACTTGTGTTGTGGTTGAGTGCACCCATTGTGCGGGCTGCGTGTGTGTGTAATGATATGAGTAGTTTGCGTGTGTGCTATCCGCTTCCCACTCTGTCATTGCTTTTCTTTGGACTCTCTTGTGTCGGACTGCTGCTTTACAAGTATAGGCGCTGAAAAACACACAAGCCCACACAGACATGCCATGCCGTACACATGCACAAGGTCTGGCTGCGGCGGCCCTCGCGAGGAGGGAGATCGGGAGACTGCGGTATTTCTTTTCGACGTGTTGCGGGTGTGATGTTGGCGGCGCGCATCCAGTGAGTGGTGTTGAGGGTGCCTTGGGCGAGTGCGGATTGCTTCCCGCCATCCGCTGCACGTGCCGAAGTGTCTCTCTTGCTGTAAATTTGCCGACGGGGATTCTTTGCCTGTGCGGGTTGATGTGCGGCTATGGCGGTTGAGGAGCGTGTGCGGGGAGTGGCAACAGTAAAAGGACTGGTGGCAGCGCTTTATTGCTGCAAAGGGCGGTTTTGCTGCTTTGCATCCCGCCTGTTGTTGCTTTGTGTGTGGGTGTCGCTCGGTGTGTGCTGACGCGTGAGGGATAACGACACACCCGTCGTGACTCCTGCTGCTGGTGGTGGTGGCAGTCGCTGTGTGTTCCCGGTGCACTGTTCCTCCGTCTCGTTCCGTGTGTCTGTGTGCGTGAGTTGTTGTTGTTGGGAGTGACTGCGGCGGGGATGATGGTGCCACTCACTGTGGATGGGTGACGGTACTCATAGTTTCATTTCTTTTTTTTTCTTTTTCTTCTCAATCACACACTTGAAAAGGAAAGCAAACAAGCGCTAAACGCTACTGTGAAATTCGAAGTCACTGAAAGGACCAACAGCAAACACACCGCCCACACACACACATTTATATGCTCTCACGTGTTGCTGCAGTGAAGGCACCCCGCACACACAACCGTCGCCGCGTGACCGGATCCAGCGGAAGGAGGAGGGAAGGAAGAGAGAGTGAGCGGCAGAGGCCCAACATGTCCCGGCGTTTGTTTACTTCCGCGGTGCTGCTCCTTCTCTTCGTGATGATGTGCTGCGGCAGTGGTGAGGCTGCGCAAGCTGCTGGACCATCGTCAGGTCAGGAATCTTCACCGAGTCCATCTTTTGCTTGGAGAGATAAGAAAGAAGGAGAAACAGTGGATTCGCTCCATGTTCCAGTTCTTGTTGAGATGGATGGTGGTGTGTTTGCCGTTGCCGAGGCGCAGTTGAAGGAGGGAGGAAGCAATTTTACTGGGATTGCCTCGGAGCTCCTGGAGTGGACCGATAAAGAATCAAGAGAATTGGATACAACTAAACTGAAGACACAAGTACTGGAGGAATGTCCTGCCGGAAATAAGGGTTGTGCTTCCCAAACAGGAGATCAGAAGGCTTCCCAAAGCCGGACAAAAGTACGTGTCAGCCGGCCAACAACAGTCGTGCGGGGAAGTGATATTTACATTTTCGCTGGAACCTACAGTTTTGAGGTTACTGATAAGGCAGCTGGTAACACGGCTGCAGCAGCTAAATGGGGACTTTTGGTGGCTGTGGGAAACGTCAGTAATGATGGGAGCAGCGATAAAAAAAAAATTTATTGGAACGACGCTTCCGTTATCCCGTGGACTGATTCTGAAAAACGACACGAATCCTTGACACGGCTGATTGGCAGTGGTGGATCGGGTGTTAAGATGAAGGACGGTACGATTGTGTTTCCCGTGGAAGGCACGAAGAATAATGGGAAGACCGTTTCGCTGATCCTATACCCCTCAGACACTGCGAGTGGGAAGCTGTCGAAGGGGATGTCTGCCGATGGCTGCAGTGATCCCTCCGTCGTGGAGCGGAAGGACGGAAAACTCATGATGATGACTGCGTGTGATGATGGCCGCCGCAGGGTGTACGAGTCCGGTGACAAGGGGGATTCGTGGACGGAGGCACTCGGGACACTCTCGCGCGTGTGGGGCAGCAAACACAAGGGAAATGTGAAGGGAGTTAGAAGCGGTTTCATCACAGCGAGTCTTGACAGTGTCGATGATAAGAGGAATGTGATTCTCGTTACTCTGCCGGTACATTCCGAGAATGGAGAAAAAGGCGTACTCCATCTTTGGCTGACGGACAATACGCACATTGTTGATATTGGGCCGGTATCCGGGGAAGCTGTGGACGTTGCCGCCAGCTCCCTGCTGTACAAAAGTGCTGGAAGTGGAAATAATGGGAAGGAGGAGTTGATTGCACTGTACGAGAAGAAGAAAGGCGGTGGGGAATCATCACTCGGTATGGTCTCAGTGCGTCTGACTGCGCAGCTTCAGCGGGTGAAGGAGGTGCTGGCGACGTGGAGGGAAGTGGACGAACGTGTCTCCAAGCTGTGCCCCTCTAAAAGTCCTGCGAAGAATCCCTCAACTGGCAATGCGTGCAGCGCTGTTAAGATCACGGATGGGCTGGTTGGCTTTTTGTCCGGCAATTTCTCTGATACCACATGGAGAGACGAGTACCTCGGGGTGGACGCCACAGTAAAGAAAGGAACGAATGGGGTGGCAACAGGGGCTGCAAAGGCGGATAACGGCGTGAAGTTCCAGGGAGCGTGGGCGGAGTGGCCTGTTGGCAGTCAGGGGGAGAATCAGCTGTACCACTTTGCGAACCACAACTTCACTCTTGTGGCGACGGTGTCCGTCCACGGTGAGCCGAAGGGAGATACCCCCATTGCATTAATGGGTGCGACGATGAATGACGGTAAGAATACTGTGCTCCTGGGACTGTCGTACGACAAAGAGGGGAAGTGGCAGGTGCTGTGCGGTGGCAAAACGACCAAGGAACTCCGCAGTAATTGGGAGCCAGAGACAACACACCAAGTGGCCATTGTGCTACGGAACGGCAGCCAGGGCTCCGCGTACGTCGATGGTCAGCGTGTGGGAGATGCGTCATGTGAATTGAAAAACACGGATTCGAAAGGAATCTCACACTTCCACATTGGAGGGGATGGAGGCAGCGCAGGGAGCAAAGAAGACGTGCCTGTGACCGCGACGAATGTCCTGCTGTACAACCGCCCGTTGGATGACAATGAGATCCGCGTCCTCAACGCAAACAAAATTTCTATTCCAAAGCTGACAGGCCTGAAAACATTGGCGGCAGGAGCAACGGGTGTCGGTACCGCTCGTGACGGCGGGGCACATGGTGATAGGAGCACTGTTTGCGGAGGCGGACTGCTGCCGCTGCTCCTTCTGCTTGGATTGTGGGGAATTGCCGCTTCTTGAGGTGAGTGTGGCCTCTGCGTGGAACACCTCAGCCCTTCCCCACCACCGACGCACACACTTCTGGTAGTGGATTACTCTCCGTAAAGGAAAATTTTCATTTTTTTTTTTAATTTTTTGTGCATGTTTTTTTTCTAATCTCTCATCCTTCCTTTTTGCTTTTGGGGGCAATCACTATGGACATTGTTTTCTTTTCTACTCTTCCCTCTTTTAATTGTTTCTTCTGCACTCTTCCTGTGAGGGGTGCCGTGTGTTTCCCGCCCAACTGCTCCACTCGCACACCCACCGACACGCTCATGACGACGGCCCTGTGCGCCTCGCCTGCTGCACGCATGAGGAGGGGCCGCGACGAACGGCGCGCTGAGGGAGCCGTGACGTGTGGGCGTGCGACGAGGGCCTGTGGGGCGGAGCACACATTTCTTTCCCTCTTGTTTTGTTTTCTTTGCGGCCAGGGCGGGCAGACACCCGCAGCGCCACACAGACAGCCACACCCTGCCGCCGTGTTTTTAAGATCCTTTGCTTTGCGTGTGCATTTCTCGCGCCGGCAGTCCCTTCGGGGTCGGCCTCGTGAGCATTTCTCTCCCTCCTGAGTTTTTTTTTTTTGCTGCGCTCACTCTCCCGATGGAGTGACGCGACTCCCGTCATTTCTGCGTGCTTCTCTCAGTCCCCACACACACGAGTGACTGTGCTCTGCAGGCCGCACTCACGCACCGATGAGAGGGCTGAGGGGAGCAGCAACACGCAGATGACCCCATGAAATATAAACG